CTATTAGTTATATTTCTCCAAAGCAACAGAACCAATAGGAGATTATATATATGTGTATATATAATTTTAAATATATGCATATATTTTATATACATTATATATGTACATATATATTTATATATATATTATACGCACACACACACACACCACATATATGTGAAGAGTTTTACTATAAGGAATTGGCTCATGTGATTATGGAAGCTGACAAGTCCCAAGTTCTGCAGGTGAGTAGGCGAGCTGGAGGTCCAGGAGAGCCGATGATGTCATTGCATATGAAGGCAGCAGGCTCAAGACCCAGGAAGAGCCAATGTTGCCTTTCGAGTCTGAAGGCAGGAGAAAAGCCAGTGTCCCAGGTTGAAGGGGCTCAGGCAGGAAGAACTCTCATATTCACAGAGGGTCAGCCTTCTTGTTCTATTTAGGGCTTCAACTGATTGGATGAGACCCACCCACATTAGGGAGAGCAATCTGCTTTACCAATTCAAGTATTCCTCACATCTAAAACTACCCTCATGGACACACCCAGAATAATGTTAGACCAAATACCTGGGCACCCTGTGGCCCAGTTGAGTTGACACAGAATTAACCATCACAGGTTTCCCATCAGGATGTTTCCTGCATATGTATATATATGCAATACTGGATTTCATTATGTAGCTTGATTATTTTCAATTTCCAGTGTCTAGTGGAAATTGATTCAATATATTCTCTGACAGGTCTTACCTCGTGAAACTTAGCAGGGGTGGAGAATTCCAAAATATGGATGTGCCATATGTTATTTAATCTTTCTCTGTGCTGGAAAGCTAGTTGCCATTTTTATATGTTTTCAATATAATATTTTGAGCAACTTTTGCTTCTAACCTTGTACTAGGTCAAGATTTTCAGTTGCAAAAATTTCTAGGACTTCTTCAAGATGTAAAAATGGCATTAAATTAAAAAAGTATGGAGTCTGGGAGGGAAGATGGCAAACTAGGTAAAAGCAGGGTTCGCCTCTTCCCAGGTCCGCATCGAAATTACAATCAAATTATAAAATAATCAATGTGAAGAATCATCTGAAGTCCAGCTGATCATAACACGTATGTCTGATAATATAAAGAAGGAGCCACTTTGAAGCCAGTAGGAGGGGCAAAGTCACGAATCGGGCTGGACCTGCACCCGCAGATGATGGAGGGACACCAGGAGAGTGAAGCTCCCCTGAAGTGTGTGTTGGGGGGTCTCAGCCTCATTCTGGGGCTCCCCAGCCCAGGGAAGAGGAGTTTCCAAAAACTCTGTAAAAACTAGAGGGAATTCTGGCTGTCTGGGTGAGACAGAAAGGCCCAAGCACAGGCTCTCTGACCTGCAGACACTCACCAGGGACACTGGTGGTGGATTAGAGGCTCCCGTGGGGTCTGGACAGGCAGCTACCATTGTGCCTTAGTGAGGGAGGGAGCCTACGGGGCAATCTACAGACCAAGCTAGCATGTCTGTGCAGACCCCTCCCACAGGGCCATTTGGAAGTGCTGGCCTGAGGAGATCAGCCTGCTCCACCCAACCTGCAGATTGCCTGGGGCTTTTGTTGCTGGGTGGCTGCCACACCCTGCACCTGTTCAGGGCCAAACATTTGCTACTGGCAGAATGTGCCGTGTGTGTGCATTTTGGGGACAGTTTCAGGCACATCACTGCTGCCAACATGAACTTGGGTGGATCTTGGGGATCTCTGGGCCAGTCCCAGACAGCAGCTGGTCTTGCTATGATCTGCGACTTTTGTGGGAACACACAAATGGTTACCAAAATTGCAGCAAGACTGAGGCTGTATTGATCTGACGGCCACTGTCTCCCACTCCACCCAACCCATAGATTGCCCCAGGTGGCCCATTGACAGTCAACCCACCACCCTGCTACTCCCCTCCTCCCAATCCACACAGGAAACAAACTCTGGTTAGCACAGGGTGGGCACTGCCAGGAAATCAGTTGCTGGCAGACTTCTGCTGCCTGCAACAGCTGCAATATGGTGTGGGGAGATCACAGGGGTCTGTGGGACCTCCCCAGATGGCAGCTGGTCTCACTGTAATCTGTGACTACTGCAGGAACGCACGGGCACAGAAGTTGCAGCAAAACTGAGGCTGTATTGGCCTGACAGCCCTTGTCTCCCTGAGATCCTGCTTCACCCAAGCCATAAAGTGCCTGCAGCCCTTTGACAGGTAGCCTCCCCTGCCCTGCTTTTTTCTGGCATTGTGCATTCTGTTAAGGCAACAGACCTTGGCTAGCACAGTGAGTGCAATTTGGGGAAAATAGTTGTAGATAGACCACTGCAGCCTGTACGAGCTGCAATATCTCTTGGGAGGATCTCAGGGGTCTGTTGGACCACCCCAGAGAACAGCTTGTCACCCTGTGATCTATGACTACTGCAGGAATGTGCAGACACAGAAATTGCAGAAAACTGAGACTATTGGCCTGACGGCCCTTGACTCCATGAGATCCTGCCTCATCCAATACACAAAGTGCCCACCGCCCGTTGACAGGCTGCCCCTGCCCTGGGGTGGCACATTCTGTGCAGTCAACAAATTTCAGCCAGCAAAGTGAGCAAAGTTCAGGGAATACAGTGATGGGAAGATCTCTGCTGCCAGCACGAGATACAGTATCGCTTGGGCAGATCTGAGTTTTGTGGGCCCATCACAGACGACAGTAGGTCACGCAGTGATATCTGACTTTGGTGGAAGCCTGCACTCACAGAGCTGGCAGCAAATCTGGTGCTGTGTAGGTCTGATGGCCCTGTATCTCAATGAGATGACGCCCCACCTAACCCACAAATTACCTGTGGCAAGTCTGCTCCCAGGCAACCTAGTCCCATACTGTGCTTTCCTTGAGTCACAAATTCAATAGCAAACAACAGCACCTAGTTTATGTGGCCCAGGCAAAGCCCATTCACCCAGGAGAAGGATTTGGTGGTGGGCCACAAACACATGCCCACGAGCTTCAGTAATTCTTAAACAGAGCTTGAGTGTTTGCAGGCCTGAGGTGGGCAGCAGCTGACCTTGCCATGATTGGAAACTTGTACAGAGAGCCACAGAGACAGCACTAGCATGTAAACTGCCACTACAGTGGCAGGAGGAAATTTACTTAATAAATTCAGGAAACTCCTGGGGTCCCTGTACCACCCAACATGTATATCACCCAGAGGCTCTTCAAGTTTCAGAGACTTACGGGCAACTGATAGGCAGTGTCAGGCCTTGAGAAGCACTGGTCCTTCTGCTAAACAGCCCTAGGCCAGGTATGGGGGATAACTTGACCGTGGCCTATAGTGTTGTCTCTTCCACTTATCTGTAGATTCAGTATAGACAACAACCATCTGTGGATACCTTTGTACCTCCAACCAGGTAGACCTGAGCAATCAAAGGCAACAGTTGACCTTGGCCTACTGGGGAGCCCCTCCCAAGGGGCCACAAAACTAACGTACCCGGATGCTGGCACTAGACCACAATAGAGCAACTCCTGACTAGTCCCATAAACGGTACACACAAAGGGTGGTTTTAACAAGTACACAAGCCTGGTAGGGCAAACCCCTCTCTGTGGGGTCAGCCCCCACACAGCAACTCTTACCCTGTGGGTGCAGCCAGTTCCCACAATTAATCAGCCTGAATGTTAATCCACTGATGTACTAACACAAATAAAGGCTTAGCTACAACAGAAGATCACACACAACCCACACAAAGATCATGTCCAGAGCCCCTGGCACAGGGGATCAGGAATAGTGCACCACTGGACCACACAGGACACCTTCCACATAAGACCATCTGGCCACAGCTGAGAGATGAAACAAATATTCCTAACATGAATAAATGAACAGAGAGAGGCTAATAAAATGAGAAAACAAAGAAACATGCCACAAATGAAACAACAGGAGAAAACGCCAGAAAATAAGCTAAATGAAATGGAGGCAAGAAACCTACCATAGACAGAGTTCAAAATAATAGTTATAAGGATGCTCATCAAACTTAGGGAGCGAATGGATGAGCACAATGGGAACCTCAACAGAGAGATAGTAAGCATAAAAAAGGACATAGAAACCATAAAAAAGAACCAGACAGAAATGAAGAATACAAAAACTGAATTGAAGAATACATTAGAAGGATTCAACAATGGATTGGATGAATCAGAAGATCGAATCAGCGAACTAGTAGACAAGGTAGTAGAATACACCCAATCAGAAGAACAAAAAGAAAAAAGAATTTTAAAAAATGAAGATAGTTTAAGAAACCTCTGGGACAACATGAAGCATAATGATATC